GGTGGGTGTGGGTGTGGGTGTGGGTGTGGGTGGGGGTGTGGGTGTGGGTGTGGGTGTGGGGGTGGGTGTGGGTGTGGGTGTGGGTGTGGGTGTGGGTGTGGGTGTGGGTTTCTTTCTAGTGAAGATTGACACCCATGCCCACACCCACACCACCGCACACCCACCCCACACCCACACCCACAGCCACAGCCACACCCACAGCCACACCCACACCCACATCCACACACCCCACCTACACCCACACCCACAGCCACACCCACACACCCCACCTACACCCACACCCACACACCCACACCCACACCCACACACCCTACCTACACCCACACCCACACCCACACCCACACCCTCGACGGAGAAGACGCAATGTCTGTATCTTTTATACGTCCGTCGATTTCGTATCTATCATTTCAATCATTGTGCGATAATTTCATCGATCATACTAGAATCGATCAGTTTAACTACACTGATGAAACAGAATGTCAAGATTGGCCTTGTAGTAATGCATATACACGATGTAACAGAAAATGGAATTGTCATAACGCTGCTGATGAAACAAACTGTCCTGATAATCCATGTCGTCCAAATGGTCATCCTTGTATATCAATATTGACTCGTAATTTTACTTGTTTACCTCTCTCACGTATCAATGATGGTATCGTTGATTGTGCGGGTGGTTATGATGAACAAAATCGTTGTGAACAAATTCCAAATTCAAGTATCCAACTTACTTATCGTTGTTTCAACGAAACACAATGTGTTCAAAATCATGGGTTTTTGCTAATTATTTACTGAAAAATGTTCCTCAAAATATGACCGAGATCTATGGTGTTTATATGACTATAATATATCCCATGCATTGGAAAAACCTAGTTGGCTTCTCCGACCACGTAGCACCTATGAAGAGTCAGCTTGGAAATTTGAAATTCAAAGCCGAAGCAAAGAGGTTTATGTTTCTTTTAAACTACAAAATCACATTCCATATCCTCTTCTCGAAACTATTACTACAGAAAATAGTTTGATCACAACAACATCCATTTTTTCAGTTAGTGAAGAAGAATTAGAAAACAAAATATCCTTATCAACTTATAATTTTAGCCGAGTTTGTAAACGTGGTATCCCTGTTTATCGCAATTATCTATCACATATCGTTTGTCTATGTCCACCAGCTTACTTTGGATATCGATGCGAATATCAAAGTCAATGAGTCAGTCTGGCATTACGATTTCGAGTCATAGAATGGGGAACAATCTTTACTTTTGTCACATTCCTTATCGATAACAACGGAAATGTACATTATTCAGAACAAAATGATTATTTGCCTGTACGCGATTGTCAAAAACAATTCAATATCTATCTACTTTATTCGTTAAGGCCAAAACATGTTAATCAAGTGTTTCATATACGTATAGATATTTATGATAAAGAAAAACTTGATTATTATGCTTCGACATTCTATCCTATTCCGTACTCGTTCTTACCAGTACATCGTCTTTCCTTAGCAGTTGACGTGCCTATACGAGAAGTAACGAGCAAAATAAATTCATGTCCTTTGAAATGCGTACATGGGCAATGTAGACAATATCTGAACTCTGATCAATATTTTTGTCAATGTTCGAGTAGTTATTCTGGTTTGTTATGCACAGTGAAGAATTCATGTACTTGTTCATCAGATTCTATTTGTGTTGGAGTTGTCAGCAATCGGCCGATATGTGTTTGTCCTCCTCATAAATTTGAACCACGCTGTTATTTAAAACGCATAGCATGTGAATCCAATCAATGTTCCAGTCATAGTCAATGTATAAATGGAGATGAAAAGCACTTCGAAACGGAATACTATTGTCGTTGCTCACAAAACTACACCGGTGTATTTTGTGAAAAGCCAAGCCGAAAAATCGAATTTTATTGTGACAAATCACTATCTATTCCTGAAGCGCTTCTGGTTCATTTTATCTATGTTCCATCAGATGGTGATATATTCGCCTCCTCATTCACTATCGTTAATCGTCCTCCTGAACCAAATCAAATAACACTAACTTCTAAAATAAAGTTTCAAGAAACTTCTTGTTTTTGTTTATTATCCAGGAGAGGTTCATATTATATTTGTGGAATTTCATCAACATTATTATCTGGCTCTACTTCAGACAAACTCTTCGTTACCATGGAAATTTTCAACAAGAATTATTCCTCAACATCGTTGTTTATCAATCAGAGAAGTATTTCCTAATCATATTCAGAGCTTATCAAGATGGCATCATGCAAAACAATACCATATTCCATGTCAGAAACGTTCAAATGTTACATGTTTCTATGATGATGATTATTTCATGTGTTTATGCAACATGGATCGACATGCAAATTGATTTAAATTTGATTTTAGTCATATTTATGATTGTTTTGGATATAATTATTATGAAAATGAGGGTCGATGTTTTGTTGATAATCGAACTTGTCCAACGGCATCGTCATGTCTATGCAAAGAATGTTATTTTGGTAGTCGATGCCAATTTACTACAAACGGATTCGGTCTATCACTTGATATTATTCTTGGTTATAGTATTCAGCCAAAAGTTCATTTCTTACAACAGCCCAATACAGTTAAAATTTCAACAGCTGTTACAGCAGTCGTCTTTGTTATTGGACTTATCAATGGTATTTTGTGTGTGATCACTTTTAAAACAAAAGAATCACTTGCGGTTGGTTCTGGTCTTTACCTACTTGCAGCATCCATCACATATTTTGTAGCCATATTATTATTTGCACTGAAGTTTTTGTTTCTTATCCTTTCTCAAATGGCAATTATTACAAATCAGTCTTTTCTTTCATCAATCTGCGTTTATATGGATATGCTTTTAAAATCATTTTTAGCTGTTGGAGAATGGTTGACTGCTTTTGTGCACATTGAGCGTATGTGGACCATTAAATGTGGTGTCAAATTCAATAAACAAAAAAGTAAACGAATTGCGAAGAACATAATTTTCGGAATATTTATCTTGACATTTCTAAGCTTCATTCATGATCCCATTCGTCGTAGTTTACTTAAAGATACAGAAGAAGAACGAACATGGTGTGTCATTCGATATTCATCATCAATGCAAACTTATGCTTCATTTATTAATATTCTTCATTTTCTTCTACCTCTTTGCATTAATTTTATCTCCACAATAATGATTATTGTATTAATAGCTCGAGAGAAATTACGAACTCGTAGAGAGACAACATACCAAGAACATATATGAATTCAATTTCAAAAACATAAACATCGAATATTCAGTTATTTTGCTCTGATTGTGATTAGTATTCCACATCTTATTATTTTATTCCTTTCTCAATGTATGAAGTCAGTTAGAAATCCTTGGTTATACCTGAGTAACTATTTCATATCATTTATTCCACCGTTACTGGTGTTTGTAGTGTTTGTGTTACCATCAAAATTTTATCGAAAAGAGTTTTACAGAACTGCCACTCGAATAAGTACAATCGTTCAACGTCGAATTCGTCTCATATAAGTGTCAAAATGAAAACTATATCTAGTCTTTTTCATAGTGCCACAATAGATAGTCTTGTATATGCCTTCTTTAATTTTCGTATCTTTACCCTAAGCTTATTTCATCGCTTAAATCTCATTTAAACTTAAATAAATTGACGTTTTACTTCATGTCTGGAACTATTTCTCAAGCTTTAGAGGCAATTCGAACAAGAAAATTAAATTATACGTATGACTGTAATGAAATTGATACTGATTAATTATCCACTGTTTAGCCACTTGCTATGATCGAATAGAAGATATAATATTCACGTGAACAATGACTATGTTAGCCATAAAGTGATTTAAATACTTCTTAACTGATATGTTTTTCTTGTACACTCGTTAGGGATAATTCGGATCAAAAATGTGAAAATTTATTTTGTTTTTGTTCCTTCTCCATCATTGCATGTTTTATCAACGTGATCTTTTTACCAGAACTGGATCAAAATGTTCTCTATCAACTGATGAAAGAATCTCCGAAAAAGAATTAACTGAAAAAGGTTATTGTAAAAATAGTGAAAGGGTGGGCGAGCTGATCTGCATTACCCTAATTGGGGTAATTCGGATCACTCAGTCAAAGTATTCAGGATAATTCCGACTACTCCAGCAAAAATAACAATGACTTCTTTTCCCATCTCATAACTCATTTTTTATTCGTTCTTGAATAATAGAAAAATATACCATTCGATAGCCCAAAGTGTCTTCTATGAGATCTGAAAATATCTCAATGAACGAACGAACGAACTGTTATTATGTAGTAATTACGACAGTAACACCTCCATTAGTTACTTTTTTAAAGGTAAAAATGGATTCAGGGTAATTCAGATCAGCTAAGCAAATCTTGCCTGGGTGATTCGAATCACTCCAGCTATTTTAGCTGGTACCCAATTATGAAACCTCTGCCATGCTTAGAATACAATGCTGACTATTATTTCTCTGACGAAAGTTGTTCAGTTTGCTTTTCTCTATGTTAGTGCGAAAAATTGTTGTGCATTGTACGGATTCAATCAAAGATTATGCTATTCAACGAAACAATCCAGAAAGTGTGTTCTTTCTTGACAGACTCCACTATCTTCTTGCAAATCTTTCAAATTCATAATAAGATGTAGAAACAAAAATTTTTAGTGTTTCAGATGCAAAAATGTTTAGACTACAAAATAGTATAAACTAGTTGTATTTATGTTTCTATATCGCCAATATCCAATATCATTCTCTGTATGAGTGCTCTATTACATGATAGTAATCATGCTGAATTGATCTTGGTGTGTTTGATATAAACAACTATTGGTAGAACAATTTTATATCAAATTGAAGAAAATCTTCTTCTCTTTCAAACTATCTAATATATAATTTTTCAGCATTGTCCAGCATTGAACTCTATAGTGTAGAAAAGAAACAATCGAATCATAGGTGTTGATTTCCGCTGTTTGTCAGCATGCGACATTACTTTTTATGATAAATGTTGATAATAGTTTCTTAAAGAGAACTGCCAACTAATTTCTTTTCTAATCAATTCAATCATTTAGTAGAAGATTCAGCAACTGCTACCTTTAGTTCTATTAATATAAGTGTGTAGGTGTGGATGTGGGCATGTATGGAGAAAGAGAAGATCCACACCCACACCCACATCCAAGCCCACACCCAACGCAGCCTTTTCCGAATGTATTCGGAAGCTGTTCATTATCTGTCAAAAGTTCTATTTTCTTTTTCCAATACATCGATTTTCCTGGATTGAGGGAACTCTTTTCTATCAGCCTTCATACAAAGTGAGTTTTGCAATTGAACTCACCGAAAAATCTAATGATTGCAGAAATTTTCAATACTAATTTTCCTTAAAACAGTTGTATTAAATCAAAAGTTTTAAACATTCACATAGTTACATTAAATATGATAGATTACGGTTGTAAGTACTCTTTTTTTATTATCTAGGTAGTTCTTTTAATTAGTTCTTTTAAATTTAGCTAGATAAGTTTAAAATACATTTTAAATACGTCTTACACCATTAAATGCTCGCAGAGATGTGATGGGAAAACGTGAGTTATTTTTCTTTGTTTTCATATTTTATTACAGAATGAGAAAAATGCGTCAATGTTATTGCCATTCGGTTGTGCAAGAACTATGAATGTTTGTGCGCCTTTGTATATATATATACATGGCTGACAATCGTTACATACACATTGAAAGTTTCCATCTAATGTCTAAATATCTAGCTCCTTCCCTTACGACATTACCAATTGAAATAGTCTATCAGATTTTTGATAGTCTCGATGCCCAAACGATCTTATCATCAGTTCGTGGCACATGTCGACGATTGAAATCACTCGCTAGCAGTTATGACAAATTTGTTTTGGATTTTATACGAATACGAAAGCCTGAATTTGAACTCATTTGTCGTTTAATTGATCCTCGTCAAGTAATTACTCTGATACTTTGTCACGAAGATGAAACATTATTTCAAACTGATTTGTTTATTTCATATTTTCATAACAAGTACTTTAGTCGACTTCGTTCGTTGACTTTACTTCATATTGACGAACGTCATTTCAAGTTTATCTTAAAATGTATCAATATCAATTCTCTTAACTCATTTTCACTTGTAATCAAAAAAGCTGATGAGAGATACAAAAAATCAACAGCAGTACTTCTTTCATCGATAATTAGCCAGAAAAATCTTCGTCGATTAGAATTTGAGATACCGCCACGACTAATACCAAGTTCAACCTGGTCAGTTCAATGTATGATTCAACATTTGAGAATTAGTGCATGTACGACTTTTTGTCCGTGTACTATTCTTCAATGTTCACCTATGTTACAAACAATCTCTGTAAACTTTGAAACATCGAAAAAAGATCATATTGTCTTGGCCGATGCTTGGAAAACGCCATTTACACAATTACATTCACTGACTTTGGAAAATTTGTCTACAAAAATTGAAGTGCTTGAATCATTACTTTTACTAATACCTTCGTTGACCAATTTCAAGATGATTGGCATTGGAAATTTCTTTGACGGTAACCGATGGGAACAGTTCATTCAGGCGAATTTACCTTTTTTGAATAAATTTGAGTTTTATCTCGAACGAACTGCAGATGCTGATTACAATCGTACAGATGTCGAATTAATCATTGCATCATTTCGAACACCATTTTGGCTTGAATACAAAAAATGGTTTGTTACATGTGAATACAAGATTAATTTGCCACGATCGATTCTACTCTATTCAATTCCAATTTGTGTGTCTTCGATGGTTTATCAATCTGAATCGACAATAATTTCTCTCTCTACCTTTGACGTAAAAGGTGATAATAATGTATCAATTATGGATAATATTAAAACGATTCGCCTAGATTTTTCCAAAATACTATTAAATGACACTCCAAATCAGGTAATTATGAATGTCGATGTTCAAATCTTTTTCTGTTCTATTCTATTTATTCAATTAGTAAAATATGATATAGCCTAAATTTTGATATCGAGATAAACAGATTTCCAGTTGTTTGAATCCACTAAAATCATAGAAAAAAAATAGATCATTTGATAAGGGAAAAACTTCTTTTTTGTTTACAAAAGAAAAATTGTTCGTTTGATTTCAATTAATAATACTCTTGCATTCAAAATCAAAATCCACAATGTATGTGTATTAATCAATACATTTTTATTCATTCCTAGGTAGAAGAAATACGCCAACCTTTAATGTTTCGAAAAGTAGAAGAATTGGAAGTAGTCACCAATTACATTAAAATACCAGGCTGTAATTTTTTCATTTCAACACTCATTGATTTAAGAAGAATCATTCGATTTAAATGTGTATCTGTATTGGATTATCCAGATGGATTACCTAAATTGACTGATATAACCACTTTGCTTCAACAAATGTGCAATCTTTTATCACTCGATTTATATTTTCCATATCAATTCGGGGTGTCAGAAGTAACTGCAGAACAAATTTGCTCGATGATTCCTTCTCACATTCGACATCTGGAAGTACAAATTTTCAATTTGAATGACATAAAAAATTTTCTCAAACGACTCGAACATTTATCCAGTGCCAAATTCACTTACTATAAACATTCATATTATGATCATATTATCACAATGTTAGAAGAAGAAAAAAATGGTTCAACATATCGAATAGATCATTTATCTATGTGTATATGGCTCGGAAAAAAGCATATTCAATCCGAAGAAATGAACCTTGGAGCAAAACGAATGAAATTCACTCATGATCATGAAAACATTTTCAATACTGTTAATAATTGATTTTATTCTTGTTTCTTTTTTTTGTCGATTTTATTCAAAAACTCTATTGATTTGTTCGTCTGTAAACTTTTCATGAAACATCTTTTCAAAAGGTAATCACTACAAAAAATTTATTCATTTTCAATTTTTTCCTTAGCACTAATTTGGCATTTTAAAGAGTGAAATAAAAAAAAATAAAGAGATAAGAATGAATTAGATTCTACGACAAAGTGCTGCGACTACTTGAAAATTAATATTTTTATTGAAAAGATTGTTTCTTTTTTTTATTTGATAAAAAGACTTTTAGTCGACGAACAACGTCTAATAAGAAGAATGGATGCAATTTCGCGCTCATTGTCAGTTCCAAACAAGTGAACGAGTTTTGTTTTTATATAATCATGTATTTTTTAATTCGAAAAACTGTCTTTGCTATACTCATAGCTTTGCAATTAATATCTGTCTCTCCTAGAAATATATTTTCTTGGTCTTAGCCAAATGACTTTCAAAAACTAGAGAAACATAAATGATAAGAACTCCATTTAGTTCGGGTGTGGGTGCTTCCTTCCTCCATACCCATACCCACACCTCCGTTTATGTTGTATATTCCAATGACGTTTGAAGTTTTTCACTTGAACAGATACACGACAGATAGGAAAGATTCCTTTTTTAATAACATAATTCACACTGGAACCACTATCTCTAAATGAGACCAAGATTGATAATAGAACTACGATTGTCTATGCAATCATTTTGGTACTCTTGTTGAACAGTGCCAATAATTTGTCCTGACGGACATTCAAGGAAAGCCTCTTGCATACAACCTGCAGAAGTACCACGTACAGAACAACGTTGAAATTTACGATGAACTCTAATAAATTCCTAACAGGAAAACAAAATATGTTTCTAATATAAAAATAAAACACTGATCTGTAATTTTGACTTACTCGACTATGATTATCAAGAACATGTGTAGTAAACTCTCGTCCATTTGTACAAAAAATACGTTCAAATAGGTCCGATTCTTGTTTAATATTAAATGAATACATATTATTCAATATTTTATCTATTTAATGTACCTTTAAATACAAAAAAATAATTGTTCGCCTCGATTGTTAAATATGCCATGTTTTGCTTGCATTGAAAGGTTTTTCAATTCTGAAAAAAAAGAAAAGAATATTTTCTAAAAGATTTAACAGATAACAAGAAAAAACATATTCAGTAATAGTTCTACTTGTAACCTTTCTTCAAAGAAAATCCATGATTGATTGATAATGAATCGACTAATTTGAACTGTTCAATGATATCAACATCAGCAATTGGTATTGATGTCCATGATATTGACTGTTGCATTACTCGAGACATGATTTTCTTATCACGAAATTATCTTAAATAGAAATCATATTATCATGTTTAACACATTCGAGGCGATGTGGTCCACCGGTGGGCCACACTACACAGGATTGGTAAAAATATCATTCCAGGGAGTAAAACTATTATTTCAAATAGCTAACACAACTAATTTTATACCAAATGAAACTCCATTTAGTGCGCTTTAAACTGGTATAAAATTAGTTGTAATAGCTATTTGAAATGATAGTGATACTCCCTTGAATAATACTTTTACCCACACTATATAGTGTGGCTTACCAATAGGTGAATCGCCTCGAATGTGTTAAGAACAAATTTATTCTTCTATTATTCCACTTCATATTGAAAGAAAATATTTAACTTATCGATATAGATTCATAGAACTTAATTAATAATTATAATAAGCATATATATCGACTCATTCATTAGATTTTTCTATCCTATTGATAAGACTAATAATTATAGAAGTATATTAGATAATTAGTTGGTTTTATTATTGTTGATTTAAATACTTTTCAATGTTCTAACATATTGTTTATTAACGATCGTATGTCTAAAANTGGACCCATCGCGACTTTCGTAAAAGACTTTTCCTATCATAGTCAATTAAAACCCCAACTATTATATACAATTCGATAGAGAATTTCAAGAACTACAAAATGCTATATAAAACATAAAGAACCAAGAACGTTGACTAACCTATGACAAAGATAATTAAAGAGAACTAGGTTATATTTTGGTCCACAATCTAATTGATCCACAAATAGAGCTTTATCTTCTGGTCACACTGATGATACTTCGAAGTTTTCAGATATGGAGAACTCAAATGTGTACTTTACTTCCATGAAAATACAATTAGTTGTGCAGTGACCAATAGAAATGAAGTTATAGGAAAAACGACTTTCTTAGAGTAAATCAAGGTGCAGAGTTCAAACTTGAGCTTAGTTCGGTCCCATGTCCTGTTGGTTTGGCAACGCGCAATATAAATCAACGTTTTAAATGGTAGATTTCACAGTATGATTTTGATATTCAGACAGTCTAGGACGATTGATTTGTATGATTCACTTTTTGAAGTACACATAACTCTCGGATTTAAATCCGAAGTTTCCGCATTTTTATAATTCGTCTCGATTCTAGTTAGAACTAGGACTCTGAAAAACTTATTTTCACAATGAACAATGTAAACCTCACTTTACATACATTTTCCTTATTAAGATCAGGTGTCTATTTCTTCAAAGGTAATCTTTTACGAAGTAATCCTCACTGCTAATTCCGACGTTAGATGATCGACTGACATATAGCATTAAGTCGTACTTTGAGAGACATTTGAGTCACAAACTTCAGAAGCTGATAGTATTCTTGAACTATAAGCTTTAGCATGAATCAAAAGATCAAGACCAGGTTGATGTTACTATTCGAATTCCGCTGTTTTGTTTATGATAAAAATGTGAGCTCAAATACTTAATGTCAAATGGATTTGCTTATGGGTATGGAATCCACATCTTCCGTTCCCTAGAGTTCCTTTCCTAGAAACGGGAACACAGCAAATATTTCCTTTATTTTAAAAGAAATTTTCTGATTTTATTGAGTTAAAGACAGTTTCTTACAAATTCAAAAAGGTTTTACTCATCAAGGCAAGGACTTCTTCTGAAAATAATATTTTTTACAAATTATGACCAACTTATTTGAAGCGGAGGAACCAAAATCTGGTATTGGTGTTCCGGAACCGTCGAATTTGTTTTTTCAAGAAACAAGATTTTTTATCAAAGACGCCATTCTTTTCAAAAAAAACACATCAACAAAAACTTAATCTCTTTGAAGTGAAGACTTATCCGCTTTATGATAAAATAGTTTCTTTTTTCAAGGATCTCTTTGCTGCTAACAGCTTGGTCTTTTTTATAAGAAAATGATTTCCTCTTAACAAGAATTATAAAAGAGATAAAGTTTTAGGAAACCAAGATTTTACCAATATACAATATTGAATAACATTAGCTCGCTTCATATCTGGGCCACTTCACAAGCTGCACCGTTGAATATTACAGCTCCTATGATGCTGGATAAACGTAAATAATGAACAAAATAACCACTACGAAAGGATGAGTCATAAGCGAGTTATTAGCTATACTCTCTGTAATAGTTGTAGAATCTATAAACTGACAATAAGGAAATCTTTTGAACTGAATCATTCGCTATTGAAAAGCTCTATATAGTGGCTATTTCCGGGAAAAATTTCTCCGATAATCATTAAACCGTTATGAAACTGTGCTCATTTTACTAAGAACATGTGTGACATGAGAAGCTGCCAGTAAGCAACGCGTTCCCTACAATTTCGTCTATGATTGGCGTGTAGATTCCTAACGTATATTATAGGATCCCATGCCTGTATGTAACATTTCCTAAACTTCTCACCCATGCATCCCTCAGAACAAAGCAATGGAACTTATTTGACTATGGATTTGTTGTCGTACGTCTAGATACGCGAAAAATCAGATGTATAATTTCAACTTTGAAGTACAAGAATCACATGTCTACAGGTGCTATTCTATTATAAAATGATTGAAAATTAGCAAGGTAACAGAAAGTGAAAGATGAATTTTCTTAGTCGCTTTTTTCACCATTTAAACCTTTTTGGGTTCTTTCTCTGCAGTGGTGAGAAATCATGGTGGAGAGATTCTGTTCACTCCTCCCATGTAATTTTTTTTCATGCGTTTTTGCGTCCGACCCGCGTTTCCCATGTGTCCAAAACGCTGCTGTTGAATGCGTTTAGACGGGGCTCAGATGCAACATTTCTTGCGTTCTCATACGACTCGACTAAAATTGTTGTTTAGACGCAACTGTTGAGATGAACGAGTACAGACGCGACTCTAACTGAACTTGCGTCCAAATGCGTTCCAATAGATTTTTCAAATTACAAAAATATATTACCTATCCATCTCAGCTTTGATCTGAGTTGTCATCGACATTGTCCTACGATGGCCTTTACCTAACCCTAGGCTAACAGAAAATTTAAATTTTGATTATTCTGAAATGATAGAAACGAGATTAGAACAAGTGAACTTCTGTTTGGAAAGCAAGTATACATACCAGTGAACTACATGTGATCACATTAACAATTGAATGAAAAGGAAAGTGTATATAGGTCATCTTTAGAAACTTGAAAATGAAACAGTAAACGTTAAATAAATATAGTCTTCTAATGATTCTCTTATACTAAACATATGTACTCAAACGAAAATAGTTAAATTAAATACATTGAATTGCACATTTATTTTTATTTCTCATTCTTGTAAATATTCCTTGTCGAAAATAATTTCGTTTATATTTTTCTAAAATTTAGTCGTTTTCACTTTTATCTTACAGATGTTCTATAATATATTATTCTATACTGTTTTATTAAAAATGTATCTATTCAGTCTTTTGAGATAAAAAATTGAAAAATTTCGATATTTAGCATTTTTCAATCAAGGTTATTTTATTGAAAACATTGGCACACATTTAATGGTAGATATTAAATCCGCTCTTGAACTCTTTTTCTATAGATTTTCTTTTGTGCCAAGTATTGTTTCTATCTTAACTAAAACTTTTGAGAGTACGTCTGTGTAATGTTAGCGTAAGTCTCGTCAAAACGCAAAAAATGTTGCAGCGGAAACGTGCTGCTTAAAATATCGCATAGGTATGCGACAGATAACCAACACAGTGAGACGCGAGGTTTGAGAAGACTGTAGCTACATGCGATTTCCAATACGGATCGCGCATAGATGCAGTCAATGTTTCATAGAAACCGCATTTCCAAAATAAGACGCACCGAGACGCATTTGAAATTTATTTTCATCTCGTTTTTGTGCGGTCAATACAAAACGCGTCTCGATACATTCAATTTTTACTTTTCAGTGCGTCTAGATGCATTTCATAAGACAGACAGCATTTAAACGCAGCATTGTTGCGTTTAGTGTTTACATGGGTGACATGAGAGTACAAGAGTACAACAATTGGACACAAGAACACAAAAGAGATACAGTTTCGAGATCAATCAATCTTTTATTTTGTTATTCTCTATCGAACAAAGAAATAAAATATTACTAGTAATAGTTGTTGTGTTTGAATTAGATCTAATTTATTTGACAACTTGATCTATGCCGAAAACTATCCTTCGAAAGCTGATGAACTGTATATAGAGGCCTGCAAGTTTCAACAAATACCCAGAATCGAAACTGATGGTTCAGTTATGCTTCTGGTTAATAAAAGCGAGAAAAAAAGGCTCAAAATTCGATTCCTTTAAAGTATCTTTGGAACCGCTGATCTAATAACAGTATTGAAGAGAAGTCATGTAATAATTTTTCTCTAGAAACCTGTAAGTTATATGTTACTTTTTGCAATTGTTAAAGTCTTTATTTTTGAACTAAGGATTTATTTACAAGATAAGACAACAGATAGAAAGAATGAGAGAATCATCCCTGTTAACCAGGTGTATAATATTTTCGCTAATAAACAATCATATTGAACTAATACTTTATGCGAACATTGAAGTGCCTAGAATCATATAAAAAGAAATTTTACATTTATATCTAGTCATTAGTGGGTGCAAAGATAATTTTAATACATTCATGATGCTCATTTTTAGTCTCGATCGTATCTTCTATGGTATTGAATCAAATCAGCTGAAACTGTTTATTCTTTT